TTCTCCAGACAATATCTGGACACCATCTCCCATTCCTCACTTCGCTCATCAACTCATCCCTGACCACTGGATGTGTCCCCTCAGATGGCCAGTTGCTCCCCTCCTCAAGAAACCAACGCTCAACCCCTCTGACGTCAAAAACTACAGACCAGTATCCCTTCTTTATTTTCTTTCCAAAACACTTGAGCGTGCTGTCTATGGCCAAATCTCTCGTTATCTCTCTCAGAATTATCTTCTTGACCTTAACCAGTCAGGCTTCAAGGCGGTTCACTCAACTGAGACAACTCTCCTCTGTGTCAGTGAGGCTCTCCGCTCTGTCAAAGATTACTCTTTTTCATCTGTTCTCATCCTCATAGATCTATCCGCTGCCTTCAACACCATGAACCGTCAGATCGTCCTCTCCATTATCTCAGGGCTGGGCATCTCAGGCTCTGCACACTCCTGGATTGCATTCTACCTGGCAGGTCGCTCCAACCGGAGGATCTTTGTCTGCACCACGTGCTCTCACTACTGGTGTCCCTCAGGGCTCACTACTGGTGTCCCTCAGGGCTCGGTTCTAGGCCCTTTTCTCTTTACACCAAGTCACTTGGCTCTGTCATATCGAGAGCTTAGGACTGTAAGGTTCTATAGGCATTTTTGTCTAAATTTTGTTATTGACATAGCCTTGTTCGGTTCAATGTCCTCTACCTATATAGTACTCTAAATACCCTAATTCATGTTTTTAAGTTCAAAAGAATAAAATATAGAAATTGCTGACACCATTCAAACCAATGACGGTTCGGAACATTAAAGCCAATTTTCTCAGAATCATCTTTTTGCAGATAGAACCTTATAATCCCATGCTCTTGATATCCTCACATGGTTTCCTATCATTGCTACAGTGGTTCCTCATTTAAAAGTTGCATCATACTGCAGCACAGCTTGCTACAGTGCATGACGTCATAGTATTTTACTGTCAGCCATTGTTGCCGTTAATGCCTGTTGAAACCACCAGAGAGCATCTTTGAGGACGTCTTTATGAAGCTTGCTTACTTTGTGAAGCTTGCTTACTCTCCCAAATAATCCTACAGAGGTCCATGCAGGCCAGAAGTTGTGGTTGCTATACCCTATCTGAAAGAGGATAACAAGTTAATTAATTGTGTTGACATGAAGCAACTATAGCCTCAGCTACTATGGCACAGAGAAATACATCTTAAAACATGCTATTCTGTTCTTTTGAAATCAATTGTCTTAGTAAAATGTTTTTTTATGAAATTCCTAAACAAAATATTAATGGATTTCTTTGTGATTGTGTATAGTAATTTGATTTACTAGACTGGCGGCTATTGAGTCCCGGCTATTCTACTGTTAACATGCATACCGTGCAGCAGACATTCATGTAGCTTTGAGTATAAAATGTTCAGTAAGTTTTTGTCTTTTATCAAATGTATCTTAATGTAGGCCTACTGCTAGAGTGTAAACACACATATTTCGGTAAATTCAGGGACATGTGGGTGCACGGTTTTTATTGAAATGACATAGAGCTGTAGGACTAAGAGTCCTGTTTACTGTAGCTATCTTAACATAACTTACATATTGGCCTACTTATAAAGGCCTACTTCAATATATATATACAGTTGAAGCCAGAAGTTTACGTACACTTAGGCTGGAGTCATTAAAACTCGTTTTTCAACCACTCCACAAATTTCTTGTTAACAAACTATAGTTTTGGTTCATCCTTGGGAGCAATTTCCAAACGCCTGAAGGTACCACGTTCATCTGTACAAACAATAGTACGCAAGTATAAACACCATGGGACCACGCAGCCGTCATACCGCTCAGGAAGGAGACGCGTTCTGTCTCCTAGAGATGAAAGTACTTTGGTGCGAAAAGTGCAAATCAATCCCAGAACAACAGCAAAGGACCTTGTGAAGATGCTGGAAGAAACAGGTACAAAAGTATCTATATCCACAGTAAAACGAGTCCTATATCGACATAACCTGAAAGGCCACTCAGCAAGGAAGAAGCCACTGCTCCAAAACTGCCATAAAAAAGCCAGACTACGGTTTGCAACTGCACATGGGGACAAAGATCGTACTTTTTGGAGAAATGTCCTCTGGTCTGATGAAACAAAAATAGAACTGTTTGGCCATAATGACCATTGTTATGTTTGGAGGAAAAAGAGTGTTCCTTGCAAACCAAAGAACACCATCCCAACCATGAAGCATGGGGGTGGCAGCATCATGCTGTGGGGATCCTTTGCTGCAGGAGGGACTGGTGCACTTCACAAAGTAGATGGCATCATGAGGAAGGAAAATTAGGAAGTTAAAGCTTGGTCGCAAATGGGTCTTCCAAATGGACAATGACCCCAAGCATACTTCCAAAGTTGTGGCAAAATGACCCAAGTTAAACAATTTAAAGGCTATGCTACCAAATACTAATTGAGTGTATGTAAACTTCTGACTTCTGAAATAAAAGCTGAAATAAATCATTCTCTCTACTGTTATTCTGACATTTCACATTATTAAAATAGAGTGGTGATCCTAGCTGACCTAAGACAGGAAATGTTTACTAGGATTAAATATCAGGAATTGTGGAAAACTGAGTCTAAATGTATTTGGCTAAGGTGTATGTAAACTTCTGACTTCAACTGTAAATCAATCATTCATGCATTTGTGCATGTCATCACACATACATCTCGCCGACATCTGCCCGATGTATACATGATACATCGGGCCGATGTAATACGGAGAGCGTTTGCACATTGGCAAGAGGTCGCTGAGACATCGGCATTAGATCGCATTTGCACTTCAGCTGCTGTTTGGATGATGCATGTCAAAGCTGCTAAATTATACTGTCAATAATAAAGTGATTTACATTTTTGTCCCAACTTACACGTAAGTGCATTCTTTTTCATAGTTGTCCCATGTGGGAATCAAACCCACAACCCTGGAGTTGCAAGCTCCATGCTCTACCAACTGAGCTACATGGGACTATAGTCAACTATCAGTGATTTTGTTTGTGGGTAAAAATGAAGAGAGAAGATGCAAGTTAATGTCAAGTTTATTAGGCTATTGCTAAACCATCAAGTTCTTAAAAGAAATCCAGCACAGCAAACATGGTCCTCTGTAGCTCAGCTGGTAGAGCACGGCGCTTGTAACGCCGAAGGTAGTGGGTTCGATCCCCGGGACCCCCCATACACAAAAAAAATTATGCACGCATGACTGTAAGTCGCTTTGGATAAAAACGTCTGCTAAATGGCATATTATTGTAGAAGAGAAAGGAGCCTTGAATAATTAAATAATAAATAAACCAAAACATGTCAGCTAAAGCAATGGAATTCAGGAATTAATTCAACTGTATTTAATCTTGGCTGTACTTAAGACTTTAAAACCTTTTTTGTTAGAACAGACTATATGTGATTGATTATAATTTGTTTGTAAATTCTTATTGTATTTCTTGTGTTTACACTGTTCTAAACGGTCAGAAAAAATATGAATCACACATTCTGTAATAAGCAGGCAGAGCTTGCTTCTCCTACCCTCCTTGAGCTCCTTCTTCATGTCATTATCATTAGTATGCAAATATCCATTAAACAACCATTAATACATTTCAATTCCCTAAAAATATTAATCAATTTGGCAAGAGTCTATTGTCCTGCTAATAGCCCATCATGGGTGGATGGCTTCTTTTGTATTCCAATGTATTGAATGAATGTATTAATAACAGTCATTTACCATTCTCATTCAATGTATCAGCTGTCTCCCGTATCTCTGCCCTCCGAGAATGTTTCTCTTTCTGCTGGTCTGCCTTCAATGACTGTCGGTCTTCAAAGTTTGAATCTGATCCATGTGCACCTTCATCAGATGAGCAGAATTGTACCGCCCTGAGCCCCCATCGATTACAGTAGCCTATGATAGAAACAGTAGATACATTATGAATAACAAGTGACTCCTACACACAAATGCTGCGTACAGAAACACATTTTAAGAATCTAGCCAAAAAACTTTATTGGTAATCATGTGTTTTTTCAGCGCGGCCCGTTGTCCAGCACTTCGTCCACTGATCTCCAGGGATGGTTGTCGGCATGGTTGTATGCTCTGCAAACACACATTCACGTTTTTAGTACACAATTATCGATTTTATTACACACAGTATGCCTTCACATTGATAGGCTATGTATTATTATTTTTTAGAACATGCAATGAAACCAAAATACTTTAGTTTTGGTGGGGCGGCAGGTAGCTTAGTGGTTAAGAGCGTTGTGCCAGTAATCGAAAGGTCGCTGGTTCTAATCCCCGAGCCGACTAGGTGAAAAATCTGCCGATGTGCCCTTGAGCAAGGCACTTAACCCTAATTGCTCATGTAAGTCGCTCTGGATAAGAGCGTCTGCTAAATGATGTAAATGTAAATGTAAATGTGATCCTCTCCGCTCCGGCTCATTTACAAGTCCTCTGGTGGTTACAGTCCTAACCCTGGAACAGGTAGCACCATAGAAAGAAGCTGGTTTGCTGAAAACTATGTCCATTCCGTCTGTTCACTTTGGTAGCAATTAAAACATTCTGAGATAAACAGATCATTTTTGAATGGTAACTGTGTTAAGGGCAGAGTATAGGGTGGGGTGAGGAGTACTGGAAAGGTGTGACTCCAGGTTACAATAGGCAATAAATATACAGCTGTCCTCACTTTGATTATGCTGTTGCACATACTGTAGCACCATGACCAGGATCTCTATTCAATTAAGTGAGCAGATTAGGGCATTCAGGAGGAACGGAAAATCTACTGGAGACATTAAAAAAATACTGTTAGACTTGGGGAATACAGTCACGGACAGGGCTATTCGCAAACACTATCGTCAGATGCCTGTGTTCCGCCGAACGCGAAAGCCCAGGAAAATGAACAGGTACAGTAGGCTACAGTACTGTACAGTAGGGCTAATAATGCTAAAAATATTGCTTAAATAAATCTACTGCTGGTCTTTACTGTCTGCTGCACATTTTTACATTGCACTCCATTTCCAGCGAGATTATTCAAGCATCGACTCACTGATGGATGAAGATGAGGAGCGATCGGCAAAGGCCACCTGGAATCTGCTGGCATCACGGCACAACATCAACATCGCTCTAATCACAGTCAGAAGACAGTTGAAGAAACTTGAGTGGAGTTATGGAAAGGCTCGGTAAGATTTTTGTTTTGTTTGTTAAGGCTTTTTACGCTAATATTGTAATAGGCCACCTATTATATGTATTGTTTTTTTACAGAACATGAACCATGTGTGTTCTCTTGTTTTGTACTGTTCTGTAGTTTCGACCCAAAGATTTGTCTGACAAACAAAGAACTTCACCTGCTGCAGGCAGGATCGAAGCTGGCTAGACATTCAATGACGTCATCTTCACAGACGAATCAATCGTGGCCCTTGACAAATTTGCTCAAAATTGCTACAGAAAAAAAGGAAGAAGATCAAGCAAGCCGAGTCCCAAGCATCCCCTCAAACTCTCACCAGGGACCAGGCCCATATTTGATTTTTGATGGTTAAATTTAGCCATTTACAAAGCGAAAGGTTACATAAAATATTGTAGCCTACACCTTACAGACTGCAATGTGTTCCACAATAATTCACTGTTGCCTCCTTATTCAGGTATCATGGCTAGAGAGTTCTTTGAGGAAGAAATCATCAAGAGATGTGCTGGACCCTATGTCAGAGAGGTGTTTCTGGCACCACATCATTTCTTTCAAGGTAGGATTATAGCAATATGTTGTTATGTTTAGGCCTATTTACATGTATATTTCTATTATTTTACCTAATGTTGGCTAATGTCATTTTTTTTCTTCATATGCAGACAATGACCCAAAACACACTGTTGCCCTAGTTTGCATTGCAAATAAGGGCATAAACTGGGTCAAGACGCCAGCAGAGTAAGTAGACCTACAACACTTTTTCACAGCACATTACTCAACACTTGTGAGACGCACCTCGCCTACGGTAGGCCAACAGTATATCAAAAATATTTTATATCTCTACATGTAGGTCTCCTGATTTAAACCTGATCGAACTTGTTTGGCATCAACTGAAAACATTCATCTGTAACTCTGCCAAGCCTACAAGCAAAGATGAACTGGTGAAGACCATCAAGACGTTTTGGCTTGAGAAACTGAAGATACAACAATGCAACAAATACACTGATAATCTCAGCAAGGTTTTACCCATGGTCGTGGAGCTGGGGGGAAGTGCAACTAAAATGTAGCTGAGATGCAGTTGAAATAAACATCTGCATTTTGAAAGAGTCTTTTTGATCATTATTTTATTAACGGAAACATGAAGATGTTGATGAATAAATACTATATATGCTTCTTTCTTTTGGAAATATATAAATCATTACCTATTATAAGGTTGATTTGATTATTATGTGGATTATAATAAATTGACATATTTGTAGGGGGTTGATGCATTTTTCGTTAGGGCAAATCAGGTCTGTGATATTGATACATTTCTAACTTTAGTCTTGTATCAGGTGAACTGTTGTGTCTTCACATTTGTTCCGATAATTTCCCCATAATCCCAAAAGTATTCTTTTTTTTTTTTTCAATTGCTACTTCAATATACTGTAGATCAATCATTCATTCGTTCAAGCATTTTATTGAGAAAACAAAATAAAAAGGGAGCCTTGAATAATTAAACAATAAATGTACCGCAACATGTTAGTCTCGTGTTCATACTGTATTTCACAACCTCAGCGGGCGTTTGGAGTTGCCTATACTGTATGCGATTGAGCAAAATAATAGGCTTACTCCTTCTTTATTTAGGCTACATTATTGCATGCTAAATGTTTCTGAGACGAGCAAATTAATATATTTGCTATACCACCTCCACCTATTTGCCCAGCCAGATAACAAACCAAATACAGTGGCTTGCGAAAATATTCACCCCCCTTGGCATTTTTCCTATTTTGTTGCCTTACTACCTGGAATTAAAAATGGATTTTTTTGGGGTTTGTATCATTTGATTTACACAACATGCCTACCACTTTAAAGACGCAAAATATATTTTATTGTGAAACAAACAAGAAATAAGACAAAAAATAAACAGAAGACTTGAGTGTGCATAACAATTCACCCCCACAAAGTCAATACTTACAGCTGCAGTTGCAAGTCTTTTGGGGTATGTCTCTATACGCTTGGCACATCTAGCCACTGGGATTTTTTCCCATTTTCCAAGGCAAAACTGCTCCAGCTCCTTCAAGTTGGATAGGTTCCGCTGGTGAACAGCAATCTTTAATGTGGTCCTCTGTAGTTCAGCTGGTAGAGCACGGCGCTTGTAACGCCAAGGTAGTGGGTTCGATCCCCGGGACCACCCATACACAAAAATGTATGCACGCATGACTGTAAGTCGCTTTGGATAAAAGCGTCTGCTAAATGGCATATTATTATTTAAGTCATACCACAGATTTTCAATTGGATGGAGGTCTGGGCTTAGACTAGGCCATTCCAAGACATTTAAATGTTTCCTCTTGAACCACTTGAGTGTTGTTTTAGCAGTATGCTTAGGGTCATGTTCCTGCTGGAAGGTGAACCTACGTCCCAGTCTCAAATCTCTGGAAGACTGAAACAGGTTTCCCTCTATAATTTCCCTGTATTTAGCGCCATCCACCATTCCTTCAATTCTGACCAGTTTCCCAGTCCCTGCCAATGAAAAACATCCCCATGTTGTTCTCGGGGTGATGAGAGGTGTTGGGTTTGCGCCAGACATAGCATTTTCCTTGATGGCCAAAAAGCTCAATTTCTTCCATATGTTTGGGGAGTCTCCCACATGGCTTTTGGCGAACACCAAACGTGTTTGCTTATTCTTTTCTTTAAGCAATGGCTTTTTTCTGGCCACTCTTCCGCAAAGCCCAGCTCTGTGCAGTGTACTGCTTAAAGTGGTCCTATGGACAGATACTCCAATCTCCGCTGTGGAGCTTTACAGCTCCTTCAGGGTTAACTTTGGTCTCTTTGTTGCCTCTTTGATTAATGCCCTCCTTGCCTGGTCCGTGAGTTTTGGTGGGCGGCCCTCTCTTGGCATGTTTGTTGTGGTGCCATATTCATTCAATTTGTTTAATAATGGACTTACTGGTGCTCCGTGGGATGTTCAAAGTTTCTGATATTTTTTTATAACCCAACCCTGATCTGTACTCCTCCAGAACGTTGTCCCTGACCTGTTAGGAGAGTTCCTTGGTCTTCATGGTGCCGCTTGCTTGGTGGTGCCCATTGCTTAGTGTCTAGCAGACTCTGGGGCCTTTCAGAACAGGTGTATATATACTGAGATCATGTGACAGATCATGTGACACTTAGATTGCACACAGGTGGACTTTATTTAACTAATTATGTGACTTCTGAAGGTAATTGGTTGCACCAGATCGTATTTAGGGGCTTCATAACAAATGGGGTGAATACATATGCATGCACCACTTTTCCGTTATTTATTTTTTAGAATTTTTGGAAACAAGTAATTTTTTTCATTTCACTTCACCAATTTGGTCTATTTTGTGTATGTCCAAAACATGAAATCCAAATAAAAATCAATTTAAATGGTTGTAATGCAACAAAATAGGAAAAACGGAAAGGGAGATGAATACTTTTCAGTGAAACAAAATCACATTCATTGATTAAGATAAGTCACAGGCATTTGGTCAGGAGTAGTCCTAGGCTACTAAGTGACTGCGAGTGAAGAGTAAAATAATTGTAACATTTACACTACCAGTCAAAAGTTTGGACACACCTACTCATTCCAGGGTTTTTCTTTATTTTTACTATTTTTACATTGTAGAATAATAGCAAAGACATCAAAACGATGAAATAACACATATGGAATCATAAAGTAACCATTATTTTTAAGAAATCAAAATATATTTTACATTTGAGATTCTTCAAATAGCCACCCTTTGCCTTGATGACAGCTTTGCAGTCTCTTGTAGTTTTAATGGCGCCGAAGGAGATGGCTGGCGTTTTACGGCCCGCTAACTAATAGTTTTTTCACATTATTTGAAATGTATTCAGGACATAATGTTTCTGCCACCGTCTCTTATGACCAAAAAGTATTTAAAATAATAATAATAATAATATGCCATTTAGCAGACGCTTTTATCCAAAGTGACTTACAGTTTCATATTTCTGGATATCAGGACAGCAATTACTCAACCGTATTGGAGTAAGATATTTTCTTCAACGAGTCGGATGCGAAGGATATTCTACAGACATCCGACAAGGCCCAAATCCCTGTCATTCACATGAGAAACAGACAGAGATATCGTGGACGTAGGTCAGGGTGCCTTGTAAGGATCCGACGGCAACTGAGTAATCTGCCTCTTCCATCAGTCCTATTAGCCAATGTACAATCATTGGAAAACAAAATGTACGACCTACGATCACGGGTATCCTACCAACGGGACATTAAAAACGGTAATATCTTATGTTTCACAGAGTCGTGGCTGAACGGCGACATGGATAACATACAGCTGGCGGGATACACGCCACATCGGCAGGATAGAATGGCTGACTCCGGTAAGACAAGGGGTAGAGGTCTGTGTATATTTGTAAACAACAGCTGGTGCACAAAATCTAATATTAAGGAAGTCTCTAGGTTTTCCTCGCCTGAGGTAGAGTATCTAATGATAAGCTGTAGACCACACTATTTACCAAGAGAGTTTTCATCTATATTTTTTGTAGCTGTCTATTTACCACCCCAAACCGATGCTAGCACTAAGACTGCACTCAATGAGCTGTATAAGGCCATAAGCAAACAGGAAAACTCTCATCCAGAGGCAGGGCTCCTAGTGGCCGGGGACTTTAATGCAGGGAAACTTAAATCCGTTCTACCTCATTTCTACCAGTATGTTAAATGTGCAACCAGATGGAAAAAACCTCTAGACCACTTTTACTCCACACACAGAGACGCGTACAAAGCTCTCCCTTGCCCTCCATTTGGCAAATCTGACCATAATTATATCCTCCTGATTCCTGCTTATAAGCAAAAACTAAAGCAGGAAGCACCAGTGACTCGGTTAATAAGGAAGTGGTCAGATGACGTAGCTGCTAAGCAACAGGACTGTTTTGCTAGCAAAGACTGGTATATGTTCCGGGATTCTTCAGATGGCATTGAGGAGTACACCACATCAGTCACTGGCTTCATCAATAAGTGCATTGATGACGTCGTCCCCAGAGTGACCGTACGTACAGTGGGGAAAAAAAGTATTTAGTCAGCCACCAATTGTGCAAGTTCTCCCACTTAAAAAGATGAGAGAGGCCTGTAATTTTAATCATAGGTACACGTCAACTATGACAGACAAAATGAGAAAAGAAAATCCAGAAAATCACATTGTAGGATTTTTAATGAATTTATTTGCAAAATATGGTGGAAAATAAGTATTTGGTCAATAACAAAAGTTTCTCAATACTTTGTTATATACCCTTTGTTGGCAATGACACAGGTCAAACGTTTTCTGTATGTCTTCACAAGGTTTTCACACACTGTTGCTGGTATTTTGGCCCATTCCTCCATGCAGATCTCCTCTAGAGCAGTGATGTTTTGGGGCTGTCGCTGGGCAACACAGACCTTCAACTCCCTCCAAAGATTGTCTATGGGGTTGAGATCTGGAGACTGGCTAGGCCACTCCAGGACCTTGAAATGCTTCTTACGAAGCCACTCCTTCATTGCCCGGGCGGTGTGTTTGGGATCATTGTCATACTGAAAGTCCCAGCCACGTTTCATCTTCAATGCCCTTGCTGATGGAAGGAGGATTTCACTCAAAATCTCACGATACATGGCCCCATTCATTCTTTCCTTTACACGGATCAGTCGTCCTGGTCCCTTCGCAGAAAAACAGCCCCAAAGCATGATGTTTCCACCCCCATGCTTCACAGTAGGTATGGTGTTCTTTGGATGCAACTCAGTTTTCTTTGTCCTACAAACAAGACGAGTTGAGTTTTTACCAAAAAGTTCTATTTTGGTTTCATCTGACCATATGACATTCTCCCAATCCTCTTCTGGATCATCCAAATGCACTCTAGCAAACTTCAGACGGGCTTGGACATGTACTGGCTTAAGCAGGGGGACACGTCTGCCACTGCAGATTTTGAGTCCCTGGCGGCGTAGTGTGTTACTGATGGTAACCTTTGTTACTTTGGTCCCAGCTCTCTGCAGGTCATTCACTAGGTCCCCCCGTGTGGTTCTGGGATTTTTGCTCACCGTTCTTGTGATCATTTTGACATT